GGGTTGGCGAGCGCCTACTTAAGTGTTTAATTAGAATATTTAGGAATAGAAGCTTCTAAATCTGGTTACTATCTTATATTTACCCTTTCTCTTCCTTAAGCATCAAGAGTTCCATAATCTTATCTTGTACGCGCGATTAGCTCCAATAACACTAACTATTCCTTCTCGGAAGGTAATACGTATAAAGCTCCACTAATTCGTTACCAAAAACCAAATAACCACCCTCTAAAGCCTACCGCTAGGGGCAAAGCTATCACTAGTACTTAATTGCTAGACGTCGCTATTCTAGTAAGCCTTTATAGCAATTATAGCCTACTTCCTAGATTGGAACTAGGAATATCGCGAAGTCCTCCTTAGCTTTAAACCACTTTCTAGTACACATTTAGGCGCTAACCTTAGTGATGTTATTATCTAGATTCTCTAATAATATAAAATCATTAACCACGTCCTCGCGGTTACTACTAATAATGCGTCGGACAATACGATACTTATCGCTATAGTGAATAATATAATCTAAGCTCTTTAGCTTAACATAGACTCAACAATCATTTAAGTACCTTATATTATATATATCATTTAAATTAATCTTATAGATCTACTTAGGAAGATAAAGGTAACCCCAAAAAATAACACCGCGGAACTAGAGTAGAAAGAGGATCGTGTATAAGCGCTTCGTGCTCGACAACAAAAGCGAGAGATCGCTAACACACTAAATAAGGTAAGTTTCTTAATTATTATCGTATAATAATTAGATCCTTAAGCTTACTATCTATATACGAAACTCTAGGTTCGCTATCTTGCTATTTATATTAACGTAAGCCCGCAACGTCGCGAAGCCTTCTATAACCTTTAGCCCAATAAGCCAAAGCTTATGCCTATCTAGGACGTACAAACACGTTGGAACTCGACGTATCTTATACTTCGCTAGGCTAAAAGACTCCAAGCCACTTTCGATACGTTTTACTCGTAGTACAACTAGCCTAATTTTGCACTTAGCGTAGAAGAGTGGCGACAATTCGACTATCTCCTATTTATCCTATAGCCATTCTTTAAATACACAACGGCTGTTTATACGACTAAAGACTTAAGTATCCACGTAGTCTTTAGTTTCTATAATAAGCTTTTCGATCATCTTAAAAAGGCTATTTGCCAACTTTGGCGAAAGAAGGTTACATAGAAGTAGCTTATACTTTCCTCGCTTAAGGCGGCGCAAGAGAAGCTATCGAAATACTATAGTATAATAGATAGTGTGAAAGGCGACCTTTATACGATTGGTACGATCTTAGCGCCCACGAATAAGCTATAGTTCTTTTCAATAAAGGACTAGGAGTCAGACGACCTAGAAAAGGACTAGAAAAGAATTTACCGTGAGAGTCTTGAGTCTTTCTTTAGATTATACGACGAGCGTCTTCCATAAGACAAGCTACAATCAGACGGCTAGGTATCAAGGATAGCGATAATAGACGCGGATTTAATATTCGAAGATTCGCAATAATCCCTACCTCGGTAACACGACGAGCTTACAAGATATCTTGAAAGTTGTACGTTCTTCCTTCTTCCTTACTAAACCACACTAACCCCTCCTCTTAGCAACCATACGAGGCTCCCCTTGGATATTCTAGAAAGAGCATAAACGCGAGTTTCCCGTACTTGCAAGCCTTGCACGGGATATAATGTCGATTCCAGTAACTAGAGCAAGGGTAGAACGCCTCTTTAACTCTGCCCGGGATATCTATTATTATCGACGAGGCTCGTTAAAGCCAAAGATAATTCGGGACATTATACTCTAGATATATACGACAAGATTTGACCTCCAAGAACAGAAGCGGCTTATCCTATAAGAGTATCTCTCGCATCAAGAGATCGCAGCGATAGCTAAGGCTAATAAAACCCGAGAGGAATCCTTTGAACCGATTAGTAATACCGACGAAGATTAGGAGAGGGAGTCCCTTCTATAGTCTTATACGACGACGTTTCATCTTGAAGGGATAGAGGCTATAGATTATAATAAGGATAATGATAATGATGCTAACCTCCCTCTACCTAATACCCAATAGCGTACGTATATCTAGTAGAAAGCAGAAGCGTTCAAAGCTACTTAATGGCTATATACTTAGGTCTTAATGATTTATTGTTCTATTCTATATGTTAAGTAAATCATACGATGTTTCTCTTCGAATTCAAGAAGGCCAATACACAGCTGAAGAAGCGTAATTTCTGACGGCCGTCAAAAAACCAGTGCTATAGTTAAAGATTATAATTCTGACGGCCGTCAGAAAACTCGACCTACTCTGTTTTAAATATTATAAATGAATACACAGAAAAACTCCCTAAATCTATATAACTTATGCGTAAACGAGCAAGTCACGTTTTCTACCTGTTTGTCCTGTTTGTGGACCCTGCGGGTCACCCGCGGGTCGGGTAAGGTTCCTTAGGTTCACCCGCGGCTGAGTGCCAGGTCTAACGAACGGCAGCCATTCTCCCTAGATCCTTTACGCGCACCAACTTTCCCACGTTACCTTATTCACGATCACGGCAGCCCGATCGAGCCTGAGCCCATACGAGGGGCCTACCTAGTCCGGGATTGGCCCAGCCTCGTTGCCGCTAAGCTACTCTCGTGCCTTCCATCCCCAACCAACCTCAGCAGCCAGTCTCTCATTGATGAACTAATTTTACCTTCGTGCAACACCTACAGTGGGGCCCGTCTGGCACCCAAAGAGCGTGATGTCATGAGCGATGCATCCCGAGGTTCAGCTCATCCACCATAGTCTCGTCGAACTTCAGCCGCCGATGACACGTCCGTTGAGGAAGAACCTTGCCGAAACGTGGACTACCTCTCGCACGAATGGCGCGAGGAGGATCTCTAGGCATCTTGGTGCTATATCACCGCCCACGCCATAGCAACCTGGTCTAATTCGAGGCGGAAAAGACAGAAGCGGTCCTGTTCACGCGAAAGCGTGGCCGGAACGTTCGGGACCAGACCGAACGGGCCCGAATCGTGGTAGGAAACCATTAGGTCTCATTCAATCACGAGGCCACCCGGTGGCTAGGCATCTGGCTAGACGCTGGCCTCACGCTTAAAGTACACTACCAGACATGCCTCCGCAAAGCCCGGAACGCGGAGGCCCGGGTTCGATCCCTATGCCAGGCGCAGGGTCTGGCACCAGGGCTCGTTCGCAGACTCTAGGTGGCTGCAGTGCAATTAGTCGCGCTATACGGAGCGGAACTCTGGTGGCGCGGCCAAAAGGATCGGCTGGAGGGGATGCAGCGCATGATCAATCGACAAGCCCGTTCCATCACGGGAATGCTACGGACCTCCCTAACCGGGCCCTTAATCCGAGAATCGGGCTTAGCCCCAGCGGGGGTTGTACTAGAGGCACGCTAGCTAGGCTATACGACCGGTCTGCTTGGATTACTGGATAACAACACCGCAAAAGCAGTCCTCCCAGTCAGCTTCCGGGAGGGAGACTTGTATGCCCTGCCTAGGGAGCAGACCCCAGGAAACCGAATGTGGGCTACGGCTCATAGCAGGGGACCGTGGTCTCTCGGGTAGCATCTAGCCCGACAGCTAGCTAATATCCTACTAACGGACCCCTTAAACGGCTTTGAAAGTCTGGGCCATGTGGCCAGTGACCATTTCCCGGGCCGGGTTGAGGTCCAAAGCACAGAAAAGGCACTCGACGTAGCCCGGGCGATCTGCCCCAAGCGAGCTATCTGGTCCGACGGCTCTAGGCTAGAGGACGGTAAGGTAGGGGCAGGAATCGCATGGCAGGACTCTGGAGGCATCTGGAAGACCAGGGGCTTCTCACTCGGACGAGGATAAGAGGTCTTTGACGCAGAGCTCCTAGGGGCTATATAGGGTCTTAGAGCCGCAAAGAGGATTATAGGTCAAGGTCCGGTCACGATCCTACTCGACTCCCAGGCTACAATCGCAAGGCTACGATATACACGACGAGGGCCCGGGCAGTCGCTGGCGATCTAAGCCCACATAGCTGCCCGCGACCTTCGGGCCGCTGGCAAAGAGCCCGTCATTCAGTGGGTCCCAGGCCACACGGGCATCGAAGGGAACGAACAAGCGGACCAGGCGGCCAAGCAAGCAGCTAGGAGGCCAGGATCTTTTCCCGGGGGACTCTCCCTAGCGTTCATCAGTAGAGTCTGCACCGAGAATATTCGTGACCGCAAACAGGGCTAGCTAGCCCAGGCCCTGGCGAAGCGCTCCCGCCATAATCAGCGAGCGTACCGGCCCGACAAAGGATGGAAACTTAACCCAGCGGCTTCGCTAGCTTCCAAACCGCTAGCGAGCCGCTACTATCAGTTGAAGAGTGGACATACCGCGATAGGAACCCACCTACACCGAATTCAGGCGCGGGAAAGCCCAGCCTGCGAGAAGTGTGGAGCACCAAAGGAAACTGTGCATTACGTACTCTTTAAATGTCGAGAGTGGCAGCACCAGCGAGCGAAGCTCTACAGTGCTCTAGATCGTGTTGGAATTGCTAGACCCTCGGCTGCTGAAGAATGCCCGGAAGGCAGACTCCTAGGCGAGCCCAAGGCGACCAGGGCCATTCTGCAATTCCTGGCAACCACGAGGGCAGCTCTACGCTCAGGCCATTACCAGACCATAGCAGAGCAAGCCCAGCGAGATGATGAGTGGGGATTAGAGGACTTGGAAGAAGCAGACAGGATGGGGGAGGGATAGCAGGAGGGGTAGCCTAGACGCTCAGCCTAGGGGACACCCACACTGCTAAAGAAACCGAGGAGAGCCAAGATGGCTCAAAAAGCCCTGCGCAAACAGGCGGTTTGGGGCGAGGAAAAGGATCAGATTATCTTAACATGGGGCTCATGCGCAGGAACTAATAGGAGGCAGTGGTGTGCAAGCGCGCAAGCGTCAAGCTCCAGCCTCAGAATCGCGGTCTATCATAGCTTTAGGGCTCGGTATGGACAATAAACTTGATTAATAATAATAAGAAGGGATGAAGAAATATGAAAAGTACTATTCCATTATGGATGACTGCGACACCTACTACACTGCCCTCGTCTTGGATCCTCGAGTCAAAGGTGAAATGGTCTTACGGGAACTACAAGATGGCAATGCAGGAACAATGATTCTGGAAACGATCCGCACCAACCTCCATCAGGTATACGCACCTAGCAACCCGGAGCATGATGCCGCTGCACCACAGTCGTCTTCCCTAAAGCATAGTGATGTGGAGTCTAGGATGCTGAAGAAGTTGCAGACGCGAGATCCACCGCTCTCAGATATTGAGAAGTACTTCGACACCCCTCCGATCAGCGTCGCAGACACGACCGGCCAGAACTGGCTCTGCAATTGGTGGAAGATGCACAAGGGCGAGTATCCGCGGATGGCAGCAGCAGCAGCCAGGGACTATCTAGCGATTCCTGCTTCTGAAGTTGCTGTTAAGAGAGCCTTTAGTACAGCGAGGGATGTGCTAGGCATCCGGAGATATTCTTTGAAAGGGGATACCATAAGAATGCTGATGTTGATTCGCGACGGGTATAAGTGGTAGCGGTCAAGGGATTTGGTTTAATTATGCCATTGCAATATTCCGGTTCTGCAATCATAAATTGCCAAATAAAACTACTATCCGACGAAAGTTCGTTCGCTCTCTAGATTTTTCTAAAGGAAAAATGCGCCGATGCCGATACAATATGACGATATCGTGAGTGGTGATATCGTCAAATTTGAAGCCCGCCGATATCGTACCGGCAATCGGCATCGACAAATGCAAAAGTAGCCGATATCGTATCGTCTGTCGATATCGTATCGTCAAAATCGGTATATCGACAATATCGTCAACAGCCCTACACCTTGTACGATTCGTGTATATTCATGATACACAATAGACGCATCGCAGAGCCTCTTTCCTCGATCCTAGGAATCTATAGTTGGCTCCAGGATATAGGTCAAGAGGCCCAGGACCGAGTCGGCTCCCGCGGCCAGTGATTGCATTCCCAGCTCCGGTTTTGTCATCAACAGGAACGTTAATTGAGGTCCAGGGACCAGTTTCCCCGCAATAAGAGGAATATTCAGGAGCCAGAACCGGCACACGAATACGAGGCATGCCAGTCCAGGGGATACCCCACTAACGTCCTCGGAAGCAGATAGCTGATCCTGGAAATTTTGTCGAGGGCCCTAGGAGCGAGACCCAGGACCAGACCATATGATCCCAACACCGCTATGTCGTAGATGGGAACAGAAGTCACAGCTCCAGGAGTAGATTGCGATTAGATTTCGCCAGCATATGTGCCATATGATGTATAAGGTACCGCAATCAGCACGGGTATGAAGGCCCAGCCCGTGTCTGTTAGCCTATTCCTTGCATCATAGCTCCGCCTCGATGAAGAAGATGTGATATGCTACTTTTCAATGTACGTCCGCCCAATGGTTTGGGTAGAAGAATGAGTCTCGGTAGTCCCTGGGTGAACGGCAAATACGCCCGGGAACTTTGGTTACAGGTGAAGGGGTTTTTTCTGAACCGAGATGCCTTGTACTCGGGTCGGGGTTTCCAATCCAAAATCTATCTCATGAGCAATATGCTCAAGCTGGCGCTTCGGTGACAGTCACAGCGGGCATGGCTACCGATTTCGATTGAAATATTCGCATATATTGCCAAGAGCTGTATGCCAGCGCTGACAACATGGGACGTTGACACTTCGTCGCTTTCAGAGAGACGCTTTGTCCATTGACCAGCAATCAGCAACGGGCAAGGAAGGGATGTGGACGGCGAGCGGTACCCCGATCGATCAGCTGAGAGGGAAGTAAACTTGCTTGATCTATTTCCCACAACCCTGGCCATGTGTGCGACGCAGTCGGTCACAACTAATGTCGAGCCCGCCGCAAGCCTTACGAGATCACTAGATCGAGGTCTAGAGTTATCGACTAGTCCTGAACTCCTATCCGAGCTTTCTAGGACTGACGAGCTTTTTGGCAGTCTGCAGCAAAAATGAGGCCAGACTGAAGCAATACAAGCCTATCACACAGCTGCGGTTGCCACACCTCAATCCGTTGGCGCGCAGAACGTGGTCTTTGTGGTCGACGGCCGCCAGATACAGCTCGTTGCGGAATTGCTGTCACTGCTTTTTGGTGATTTTGCGCTGTACTGCGGGACGGCCATTGGTATGGGCGTTTGTTCTGGCCAGCAAAGGCAGTATCAGGATACTCCTATTTAGATAGGAAACCCTAAGCCCTAATTTCACTACTTCGCCGTCGCCATCTTTACTATTCGGGATCATTCCATTATGCCCATGAATATCCTGTACGGCGGCAGCCTTGACGTTTTGTCTTCTTTGATTCCATAGATGAAGAGCCACTGCGGTGCCGTCACCAGCGGTCCATAATAGCCCAAAGCGAAAGGTAAAACAGACAACTTACTATCACGATGCAGGTTGAGGCCGGCATGGTCGCATAAAGAGCAAAAACTCACCATCCCAATCTCGTTCGACGCGGTGATGAAACCTCGCGTACGCGGCGTTAAAGTAGATAGGTTTTGCGCCCGCAGCGCGAGCCATGATGGTATGGCGTGAAAAATATAAGTTTTCAAACAACGCTAGTTGATCACGAGGTTAGAAACAGCTCCAATTTAGCTCAGCTGCGGGTAGCTCTAAGCTTTGAATGTATGATGTCAGTTTGGATCATTATTTAGTGTCTAGGCCGCGGCACTTCCGCAGGATCCGCGATTTACCCTCTTTGTTCCACAAATCTAAAGCGAAGCGGATGAAGATCCTAAGGTATCTTCCGCGCGATAATCTGCCGAGCCCCGCGGATATCAAAACACTACAACCAAGTCTAGACTTTGACTTTTCTCATGAGTGCGCAATTTGGCAGGTATTTTTAGCTATTCTGTATGTTTTACACATGAAGAGAAATCTGGAACTTTCCCGGTTTTAACCTAAGTTATTTTTAAAGTATCCAAATAATGGATGAATCGGCGAAACGCAAAGTTTGGCTTTGCTACGGTCGCAACTTTCTCAGTTGATGAAGATCAGACCTGCCGACTCCGGGCATAGACACTGTGTGTTCCGTCTGTATATTTCGCGTCTGTAAATTTCGCTTTCTGTCCTTTCCGAACTCTATCGATAGCATCGCTGCCATCGATATTTCACCGAGCGGCGGATGCAGCAAAATCGAAAATGACAGGACGCTCGCTTGGCGATCGCTTGCAATGAATTAAACTTTCTATAGCGTGAACGACAAAGGACGTACGGAAGTTATGTCACGGATATTCCAGTCTCATTTTTGCCGCATTACAGGGTTCAAGTTGTTGTATGTCCGGAACCATGCGGGTTGAACCATCCGAATGCGGCCCTATAGACAGTGCTGCGGCATCAAGCGGAACGTCAGCCGCTTCGTACTCTCAACATGATTTTCATGTAAAAGAGCAATGAATTCATGAAGCAGCCGTTTTGGGTAGAAATAGAGTTCCAAAATTTTTTGTTTGCCAGGTATAAAAATCCGCTCTAGGTCTTGACAGGGAGAAATGATTTGTGTCACTTTTTCTTAGCCACGCGACAGCACGACAATGGGCAACGTTCTTCGCAAAGCTACAGATAGTGTAGCTGGCTACCGCCGGAAGTTGGAAAATATGAGTCTCAGACATGAAAAATCGAAACTTGCTAAGAAGCTCGATCCTCAGGTCGACTCCGCTCATGGTGAGTGAATTTCCCCCTGCCTCTTTCCTTCGACGAATACTCATTGCTCATTTCAAGTCAAGAAAGTTACGCCAAAATCCTCTGCGCGCCTACCTGGTCAAGGAACCGACGATCAGGGTTATGACCCTTTGATGGATCGGACGACTACTTAGCAGGCCAAAATGGATTTTTGGGAACAATGTGGACGGCCTGCGTCGCATAATCGCCACCATGCGCAGATCTCTGATAACTTTTACGATAAGCGTCAAAGGCAAATAATCAGTGAGACAACCATCTGCGCTTTCGTGGCAAGTACTGAAATAATAAATCATAGCGCCCCAGCGAATCAAATAGAGTATTCAGATTCCTCTTCTCCCGACATTTCCATTTACTCTTTATAGATTTTTGCATTATGCACTGAATTTCTGGACGTTTCACAACCTCGTTCTTTTACATACAACCTCGTTTGGGATCACTGCTTTTGACGTGTAACCTCGTTGACCTAGTCCACCAAGTCTTTTTGTGCCTTAATGATTGCCCATCGGCAAAGGCCGAATTTTCCCTCGCCGGAGGCGTAATTTCCTAGCTCTGCAGCGCTTGTTAAGCACTTCATTTCGCTCGCGAAGGGTCTGCTTCTCATTCTTTGATAAAGCCATCTGATACATTATTTGTTTTCCCTTCTTATAAACGATGACCATATTGTCAAGTCGAGCTTGTTGATATACTTTGCCGGTAAGAAGACCTCAGCATAGCTAAGAATTAGGCGGATAAAATGGGCCAACGGCCAATAAGTTTTGGCATGACCGTCCATAGGCATGCCAAACTGGCCCGAAGCCAGCATAATTCCCCTAATTAGAATGTGTCGGCCAATGTGAAGAAGAACCTTACTAGCGTCTTTTGTTTCATATAACATCCAACTGCTTCCTGATCGGTTATTCGGCTAAATTGAATAGACATACGAAAAAAGGGCCAGAATATGCTGGCAGAAAACATAGATGCCTAGGTTCTAAACATTCGGCACGCTAGGCATTTGGTTCGACTCGGCAGAGTATGCCCAATGGATGATCGACGATGGTCTTCTTATGGATGAAAGATACAGCGGAAGAGTGAGAAAGTGCGAGATCAAGAAGAAGCAGTGTTTTCGCTGCCAACGGTTCGGGCACCGGGCGTGGTCGCGCCAGAAGCACCCACCCGGTGTGGCCACTAGGGCGGCCAGCATCTACGAGCAGGTTGCCCACCGGCCATTGGAGCACACTGTCTGGACTGCAGCGGTGAACATGTAACCGGAGACCTCCTGTGCCCGACGCGCGCCAACGTACCCCCGTCACAATGTTAGGATGTTAGGAAACAACTTCCGAATCTTACAATTAAACACCATGAAGTCGAGGGCGGGCATGAAAGCTCTCATCGACAACCACCAGACCCGGGACCTGGGCATGCTGCTTACCCAGGAACCATCTATCACCGCATCAGGAACACGTGAACGACAGCGCGTGAAGACTATACCAACCGACGGTGGAGAGCGACTCGATCCGATTTCGAAGTCTGATCTACGTCAATCAAAGACTATCCACGTCCTCTCACCGGCAACGTGCAGTCACCCAGACCTGGCGTCAATTAAGATCTGGATGGCTGACACCCGAATTCTGGTCTTCTCAGCCTACATCAGCCTGTATCGATGCACAGGCCCCAGGAGGCATCAGCGGAACCGGTATTATCAGCTCTTTACGACACAATACAAGAGGCTTTCCAAGATATCAACAGGACAACCAGCACAATACCGTCAGGAGATTTCAGCCGCCACCACCCGGTGCGGGAGGCCACCACGTCCAAACTCGATTTATGGAGTACGCCGACGAAGTAATCGACTCCTTTAACATTTACGGCGTTCAGAGCTGTCTCTCCCGGGGAAGGGCGACCTTCTCGTCTCTAAGCCACGCAGGGAGAAACTCCACTATCGATCAGACCCAACCGAGTCTAGTCGTCAAATATAACCTCTACCACGACAATTAATGTCTCAGACCACAGCGCCGCTACTCTGAATTGTCCCTGCATATGCGACGCAACTATACAGCCAAGCTAAGGAAAGCCTACGACGGAGTCAACTGGGAGAAGATCGGAATAGAAGTAAAGAACACAGTTGAGTCACTTGCTTCGACCGCGAGTTAACTCGCCAAAGCGACAGTAACAACAGTCCACCGCCACACTCCCGAACTGCGTCCTTCTCCCAACCCAAAGAACGGTGTTCTTGGCATGCGAAAGCGTAGTATGGAGCCCTAGAGGGGGTCAGGCATACTTCATGAGTCGCAAAAAAGGGATCCTGGCCTCGTTGAGACACTCCACTTGGATGCTCTTTCCGTCTGCGACTCTGTGGTATGATGAGATGACACAAAGTTCTCCTAAAGAAGACTTATCTTACTTTAAGTCCTTGGTACAACAAAGGTCGAAATCAATTTTACCAATTCGTTCTCTTAAGTTCTAATAAGAGCTCCATTCCTAAGCACGCTTGACCAATTATGCTTAGCCTACATCCAGTTCCCCGCACTTAGCTGTACCTTGTTTCGGGGATTCATGTAAGGCTAGGCCAAACGAAGGGTTGAACGGGTCTAGCCAAGACTTTTAAAGAATCAAAGTGAGCAAAGCTGGTGAAACTGATTACGATCCATGCTGTAAGAAGCACTGGTGGTCAGGAAGTCTTGTCAAAGGAAGGCCGAGACATGGGATGGCATGTAAATATTAGACCGTGCTCGTATTGTTGGCTCGACCGCCAGGGTCGCGAATGTGTCCTCATCATGGCCTTGAAATGTTCGGATTCGCCAAAAAGCTCCTTAACGAAGCAGAGCCATCGCGAGCCAGTATAGCTGAGGATTTGCAAGAAGAAATGCGAATGTGATAACTTTTAGAGAAATGAAATATCTCCAGGTAGCTCTTAACTCTTTGAAAAGCTAAAAAAGAAATTAAGAGCAGGCTGAAGGCAAGACATGGGACAAGCGGCCTTTTTTGTTTCCACTTATCCACAATTAGTAAATGGTAGCCCGTCAAATGCTAGATTCCTAGTGGCCACGATGGGCGGTAATCATCTCGGGCACAATTCAGTGCTCGAGCGGAGATGATCATGTGGACCGCAACTACCCGTTTCACATAGTAAAAGGGTATGACCACTGCTAGCAATGCCTCAAGGAGGCAAGATAAAGTGCAGTGGAGCTATGGTGTTCTTGGTAACAGGTCCAGTATATTGTGGTACGCTCTATGGAAGAAGAAGAGAAAGTTCCGCTGGAAATACGCTGGCGCTGGACAAGAATACCTAGATGACTGGCGTTTCACCGACATCCATCAAGGCCTCTGGGGCTCGGATGTGGACGAAAGGCTGCGTAATATAGGTTTCAACGAATCAACAGCCGATAAAACGAACTAATTTCGCAAGGTCCTGAGTTATTTCCAGGGAGAAAATCTCTACGGTAGGATGCACCACCACATTCACGGTGGATGACTAATCCCCTGATGGGAGATTGCCAGTGATGGAGATCGCTGTTCTATTCGTAGCGGGACTGGAAAACTGGGTGGACTTTGGTGTTATTATTGGCATTATCTACCTAAATGCAGCGATCGTATAATATCAGGAGGAACAAGCCGAACACGTAGCGGCTAGCTCTTAAAGCCGACATCGCAATACGTAGTATAGTCGTTAGGAACGGAAGAGAGGCCGATATTCCCGCCTTGGTAAGCTAGATTAATCTAACTTCCTGTTATTTAGTGGATTTTCTATTTCCCTATTTACCTAAATTGACGAGCACATTAACGAGCGCTAAGGTAGCAATAATATATAGAACCTACCCCTGAAAACACATTTCGCCTCCTTATCTGGGCAAGGTGTTGCCTGCAGACAAGTGGGCTTTCGTATATTATATAAAGGGTTTTGTGTTTATTTATCCCGGAGTTAGGATGCCTCCCACCTACTTATTGCCTTAGGCGTGGCGGCTATAGCTATAGCTATAAGTCAAGGACTAGATACGACGGAAGTTTACCCACTCCGGCCTAGGCCTAGAACGTCGTATGTGGCCTGCGTGCGGCGGTTGATATAACTAGACTAAAATTAATGGGCGTTTTTATCCCGAATAGTGGGTCTTCGGAAGTTGCCTATTTCTAGAGTCTATTTCACCCAACTTTGCCTCCGCCGATGACGAGAGTATGAGGTAAGTTTCGCTAGTAATGTCTTACTGAATTTAGGCTACATTGTAGGATCGAACGCCCTTCGACTTAGTAATGCGATATTTTTCTAGGGAAACTTTCTCTGTCCACCTAGCCTACTATTCTAGTTGTGCTCCTAGGGCAGTTGGGGCTAATGCGCAAAGCTTATCGTAAGAAGAGTAGAGCAAATTTAATTTTAAGGATCTTGAGCAGCGACTTAATATTCCCACCATCGATATATAGGTACGCACCCCCTGGCTTATAGGTGTATACTGGCTTATAATGGGTATACTGTCTAGCTCACCGTTCTGAAAGCCGCCTCTTAATTCCATATTTTTAAGGCTATATATAAGGAAACTTAGTCTGTATCACCCTTCTTGGTCATAGGGTATTATTTTGCAAATATCTAGGAAAGTTTCGCGCGAAATAGCCATAAGATGCTTAAAGAACTATAGCGCCCTATCGCCTTGCGCAACGACTATATAAGTGAAAGAAAAACATATCTCATTTTATTTCCTAGCGGGGGCACCCAGTCCCCTTATGTGTATACAGTCGAAAATGAAGATGCGTGCACCCTATCTATAGTTACCCTATTTATAGTGACTAGCCGGAAGTATAGTCCCCACTGTTGTCGCGAGGTTCGAGACCGATCAGGTTTACCTTTGTTCGAAATACATCACCGTGGGCTTCTTACGCGCAATTTGTGTAATGTTACCTTACTTGGCTATAATGGTCCGATGGCTACTTTCCGCTGGCAAAGTCTAGGGGGCAATTTTACCTTGTCCGTTGAGACTATAACGGCGGCCGGTAGTCGGAGGTTGGAGGTAGACTACGCCAAAACCCGCGCCAACCCGAACCCAACCCAACCCGAACCCGCAAATAGGTTGGGTTCGGGTCGACTTCTTTGACCCGCACGCGGGTTTTAGGTCGAGGTAGATAACCTAACCTGAACCCGTATAACCCGAACCCAACCTATTTAGGTGGGTCCTTATCTTAGCATTATTTATGAAGTATTAGTCTATATTTTTAGGTATTTGACTTATAAGAAAGGCCTCTTTCTATGACTACAGTGTGTGATGTAGGGCTAATGAATTCCTGAAGCTATAGCAGTAATTTTCTAACGGCCGTTAGAAAATAGGGTTATTAAGCTATGGTACTGGCTTTTTTGACGGCCGTCAGAAATTGAGGTTCAATTTAGTTTATAATATTAATCACTAATGATATACCTATTGCTCATCCTCCTGCCGAGGACGCTTGCGCGATCTTTTAGATGCGCGGTGTGCCTAAGTGCTTTCTAATTAAGGGAGATCTACCTTATCGTTATCACCATTATCTAGCTACGGAAGCTCCCCTTCGTCCTAATCCTCGCCCTCTTGTGTATCCTATTCTTTATTATCACTAATTAGATCTAGCTTAAACTGATTAGGCGTGTACTCTCTCTCTTCTTCTTTACCCACTTTAATTTTATTAAGAGTGAAAAATTCTTTCAAAAATGTAAAAGAGTCTTCTTGGAGGTCGAACCTTAATGTACAAAGATACATTATTAGTTCCTGGATTATTGTGCTATTTAAGCGTCCTCGGCGATAATAATAGATATCCCACGCTATATTAAATAGACGTTTAACTCTAGCACTAGTTGCTAGGATTAAAAGGATATCCTAGGTAAGGGTAGTAATAGCTAGAAAGCGGTGTTGATTCTCCTTCTAAAATGGGAGAGATGAGATATTAATAGTATCTATTATTAATTAGGAAGAGGAGAAAGCGAGAGAAGATAAAAAGATATACCGCTATCAAGATATTGGACTACCTCGTCCTTAGGCGACGATAGTTAGCATTTGCTTCCACTAAGCATTAAATTAAGACGTAAGCCTACTTAGGTTAACGCCTAAGAGATAGGGAGGCCTTGCTGAGAACAAAGACGCTCTTAGTATAGAGATAGAGCCATCTTAAAGCTCTTTCGATATTGATCGCGCTATTAATCGTCCCAATCGTTTATAATAAAGAACTAAAACTTATTTACTAGCGCGAGCATTGTTCCAACCGTATAAAGATCCCCTTAGATTATATCCGTCTGCTAATAATAGCTAGCGAGCTTCTCACGCGTAGCCTTAAGCGCCTTACGTATTATCTTTTTCTAGGGAACTTTTTTCCGTATAAGGTAGACTATTAACCGCTCAAGGTGTTTAAAAAGCTTATTATAAATTCGAAATATATAATAAGTAGTAGCGTCCTTTATCTTTAATAGCTTAAGGGTAAAATCAAAGAATAGCTACGTAATCTATAGAAGGTAGTTAATCTAACGCCATTCATCTGCATTAAGCACTAGGTCAGTCCGATTATATTTAATATAAAAGGGATTAAATATCGATCGGAGCCGCTTTGCTCGTCGAAGCATTAGAAATATAAAGTTCTAGCGTATTTTAATATCCTACAAGGGTATAAGCTTAGTTACTTTAGTCTAGAGCTTAGAAAATATATCACGGCGCTAAGGGCTTATATTAATATAGATCGTAAGGTTGCGAACCTATTTAAGATAGGTGATTAGTATAGTGAGAGAAGTGAGAGAAAAGTGAGAGTTATTTACCTTATTTAATATCCGAGTAATATCCCGCTTCTTTATCTTTATATTCGTATAGGCAGGCTAAGACCGCTTAGTCGACTAACGTATCATAGTTATATTATTCGTAGGCTTGGCTTTCATCTATCTAAGTAGCTTATTTAAGCTTAGTTAGATAATATATACGAGGCACGGAACTCGAATAATAGTGGTTATATCCGATAGCGACTACTATAAGGCATTAACCAAGGTATTATTATTCGATACATTATTAGCCGTTATTATAAGTACCTAGTCCTAAATCTAATGCTATATAAGCGCATCTAGGAGTATAGCGCTAAGGTTCTCACTAAAGTGCGTTCCGGAAAGTGGTTAAAAGCTAAGTAGAACCTCTTAATATTACTAATCTTCGTCGATAAAATAG